TTTTTTTTTTTTTTTTTTTTTTTTTTTTTTTTTTTTGGTTTTTGAGAAGGTGAAAGAGAGTGGTAGGTCAGCTTGCCTGCCCCCTTGGGCAATATTTGCAAGTTAGTCCAACAGAGTTGTATTATTGTAAAATGGCCACAGTTAGTTTGGCTTTTGGAGTTGCCTGCCCCTTTTGTTTTTATTTTATTTTATTTTATTTTATTATTTTATAATATTTATTAATGAAAGCCTTAGCTGTTTGTTGTATCAATAATCAGTATCTTTTTTTTTTTAAGATATATATATATATAGTTATGGGCCGATTTTGCCTCTTTCTGAGATTTTCTGGGGCCCAATGGAAGATGGGCCTATTTGGGCCCGATCCCCCCACCACAAAATTAATTTTTTATCTTTATAAATTAATCATTGATCGAAATAAAATATTTCTTTTTTTTTTAAAAAAAAAAAAGAAAAGATAAAGGGGTGGGGCCTGGGGGGGTTATAATTATACATGATTATATATAATAAATATGAATAATAATAAAATAAATAAAAAGGGAAAAGGAAAGGGTAATTATTATTGGAGGAGGGGAACAAAAAAAGAAAGAGAAGCTTTAGCAGTCGGACATGCTCGATCACAGCTCCATTTCTGTAACCCTAAATTAATCATTTTTTATTTTCTAAAATACGAATTGGGGAAAGCCCAAATTCCAAGGAGTACCCCACCAACGGTCATGATCTCGTCCCCGACAGAAACCAACGGATGGGATTCAATAGCTCTCTCTCTGGAGGTGATCGCTGCTTTCGGCTGTTCCTAGGTGAAAGCGACTCTAGGAGTGATGTGGCAGTGGGACCCACTTCGTCACTCTCAAAAGGCGGGAAGAGGAGCTCTGTTCTGTTCCCCTTTGCCCCCCTCCCTCACTCTCTCTCTCTCTCTCTTCATTGGCTCTTCATTTCCTTTCTCTCCTCCTTTGAATTCCTTTCACAACATTACATGTTTTTTTTTTTTTTTTTTTTTTTTTTTTTTTTTTTTTTTTTTTTTTTTTTT